TCAACAATTTTCCAAATTTTTTTTACCCCCAGATAAATGATACTGACATGAGAGCTATTTTAAGGTTTTTTCAATTTTCAGTAATTTGTTTTAAGTTAAAATAATATTAAAAGCGTTATTGGCATGTATAATTCAGATTCAAACATCTTTATTTCCCTTTAACCGAGGGCTGTAGGTCCCTGAACGCAACCTTTACGTTCATTCATGATGAATGTTTCATTTTTAACATAGTAAAACTCTACTTTATGACAGGGACGTGAACGCCACACGGATCCAGTTGTTTTTAACAGGATTAGCCCGGCAGCTAACCAGCCGTCCAACCTGCCGGTCTGACGGCAACCTGCCCGACTTGTTTCCGGGGCGAGAGTTCACGGTCACACCGAGCGATGTTTATATTCTTATTTTTAACGTTACCTTGTCGCAGATGTTGTCGGTGCTGTCAGGGTCTCCTCCGCCCCCGCCTCGCTTCCTCAGCTCCGTCATGGTTCGCTCGTTTCTCCGACGGGACGAAGTGTCACATAAGCCGCCTCAGACCCGGAGAGAGAGGGCAGGCAGGCGGGAGGTGGGGGGGGTGAGGACGGTCAAATCCTCCAGTTTTCAATCAAACGAACTCCGGGATTTTTATTTTTTACTCGGTTCGGATCCAAACTCAGTCCCTGAAGAAGCTCCACTGTCCTGAAAGTCACCCGGTGCCGACGCCGAGCTCCATGGGACACTCCGACTCGGCTGGGCTGTATTTGTTTATCGCCGCAGTCTCTCCGCCTACTGCCGCAAAGGTTCCGTGACCACTTCCGGCGAAAACTTTCAAAATAAAGATTTACAAACCGGAAGTTTACATCATAAACCGGTAGCAGATTTTTAATTCGACAAAATAGCTTTACTACAGGCCGTCGTACTAAATTTTGCGAGGATTGTAAATTTACTATATATTTAATATGAAGAAAATATTTAAATATTAAAGATAAGCAATGTTTGTAATTTTGATAAAACAAACTGATTTAAAAACATAAGGAAATCGAAACATTTATGCTATTTATCATTGCTACTACTTGCATGATGCTATAAATGAAATAAAAAAGGGTTTGGTAACAGGACTATTGAAATAAATATAAACAACAAAAATATGTATTACAATTATTTTTGAAAAATGTTTAAAAATACTGATACGTTGCCGCAGTTTTGTTACTGACCGCTGGAGGGGAGCAAAGACACGCATGATTGAAAAGAGTGCTGATGACAAGAGAAGTATCTTCCTGTACTTCCTTTGTCGCTTCAATCTCACAGTTTCTAATGTTCAACATTTGTAAAGAGCACTGCATTCACAAAAAATTAAAAAATAAATAAATAAATAAATTAGGACTCCTGATCTCATAATTACGAGAAAAGATGTCATAATTATGAGATCCTGATCTCGTAATTATGAGATATCTCATAATTATGACATTATATTTCATAATTATGACATCTTATCTCATAATTGAGATCCTGATCTCGTAATTATGAGATCAGGAGTCAATTTTTTTTATTAGGTGAATGCAATGCTCTTCCGTATAATGTGGTGGAATTAGAAACTTATTTTTAGCAGATACGCAGCTAATATTACTCCAAAATTTAGCCAACTCGGCTACTATTCAAAATTTAGCCAGATATCTGTAACATTTACTAAATTATAGTCAATTTTGTGTTGCTAAATGTTAATGTTTAGCTGCCGTGGCCATCTTGAATCAGTCAGTTTAGAAATGTTCTTTCTAAAAATCAGCCCTTTTGTTGGATTTCGCCCCCAAATAAGAAACAAAAGCCTTTGGTGGTAAACAGCCATTATTTATTGAAATGAAATTAAAAGAATAAGTACCAGATCTATTGCATTATTGTTATTTCTTTTGTTTCTGTAACAGGAAATTTACTCTACGTTTTTTTAATTTTCTCTTGCAGGATGTAGTGAACACAATTATACAAGGAACATTCAGCTAATCACAGATTGCACACCAGATACTGTAGTAATGCAGCCTTAATGCAGGACCACCAAAAAATTAAAACAATCCTCTTGTTTGTCTCTTCATTGGTCCGTGTTTTGTCCAGAAAGAGTACAAAAGTCCACTTGAAGTTGAGACGGTGATCCGCGGCTCTGTACACAAACCTCATCAGTCGGTCGCTCATCGAAGAAAAAAGGAAAAAAAACGAACAAAAAAACAACAACAAAAAACCAACATCCTAACATTTACAATACACTGACACAGAAAGTCAGCTATGTTAATAAACATGCAACAAGTAACAAAACTTGCTGAGATCGCGATAATCATAAAAAAAAATCTAAAACCAGTTATAATTGCATAAATACTTTGTACAGTTCATTTATCCGCAGTGAAATGCACCAACATAAATCTGCATTTAATAATAAAAAAACCTCATGATTCCTCTTTTTCATTTTTTTGTTTTGTTTTTGTACAAGGTGCAAAGAAACTCTTTGATTGATAAAAGCCGACTCTTCAGCAGTTACAGTACTGAAAATCTAGAGTGATGAGATGAAAAAACAACCGGAGTGCAAATTATCACCGTTACACAGCAGGGGGGTCTGTAGTGGGGGAGAAAAATAATAATAAACAACATTTATGGGTAAGAAAATAAGAATAAAGCAGCACCTGAATGTCAAGCTGGTGACTAAAAAACACAAAAAGTGACTTCAGGACAGAGAGAAAGTAAAAAAGATTAGAGTTTGAGATTTAAATCGATGTTTTGGTGCAGATTTACGCTCAGATGTGTTGTTTACACTGAGTGCATACCTGCATTCCAGAACGTCATGTTCAGGATTCATGGTTTTATTTCATTTATTTTTATTAATAATGTCTCTGACTGGCTTCAACTAGAGGAAGTGAGGATGAGGAGTGTGTGGCGTGACGAAGAGGCCGTTTAAATGTTTAAAAACACCTAAAATGATACGTCTTCAGTGAGCAGCAGCAACAAATATCTACAGGAGAGACGGGAAATATCAAAACGATTTGGCAAAACAAACGCTCGACCTCTGATGGAGACAAAATAACACGTTTCTGTAAACAACAACATCCTCTGGAAATGATTAAAAAGAAAAAAAAGGTGAGTTTTGCATAACTTGAGCCACAAACATTAATTTTTGACATTCATATCCTCTCCTCTGAACCGTGACACGTTTTGTTTTTTTAAAGCCAACAGTGGTTAGTCACAACGCTAAATTACAAGGAAGGTTTCTTCTTACTGACCTTAACTTTGTTCTGTTGCAGAGTTAAAAAGGCTGAGAAGCTATTTACACTATAAACAAGTGTGTTTTTAGGAGGAGGAGGAAGAGGAGGAAGAGGAGGAGGAGTCTGTTCCTTCAAGCTAAAGTGATTCTTTTTTTTCTCCAGTTTCTGATCAGTTCGTCTCACGTCACTCTGGTTTATCTACACGAAGATGAGGAGGAGGAGGAGGAGTTGGGACGAATGAAACGCTCCTCGAGGCTCCGAGTGGAGGCGGAGCTCAGGTCCTGGAGGCGGAGCTCAGTTCCTGGGGGCGGAGCTCAGGTCCTGGAGGCAGAGCTCAGTTCCTGGGGGCGGAGCTCAGGTCCTGGAGGCAGAGCTCAGTTCCTGGGGGCGGAGCTCAGGTCCTGGAGGCGGAGCTCAGTTCCTGGAGGCGGAGCTCAGTTCCTGGAGGTGGAGCTCAGTTCCTGCAGCCGTCGTCGACGCTTCGCTCATGCTGAAGGTTGTAGTAACAGTTCTGACAGACCCGGACCGGAGACGAGATCTTCAGCCGTTTGATCTCCGACTGGAAGCGACTACACCTGAAAAAAAAAAAGATCAGAGCTAAAGCTAAAGCTAACCTTTGACAGAAGAGCTGAAGCTAAAGCTAACCTCTGACAGAAGAGCTGAAGCTAAAGCTATCCTCTGACAGAAAAGCTAAAGCTAACCTCTGACAGAAGAGCTGAAGCTAAAGCTAACCTCTGACAGAAAAGCTAAAGCTAAAGCTAACCTCTGACAGAACAGCTGAAGCTAAAGCTAACCTCTGACAGAAGAGCTGAAGCTAACCTCTGACAGAACAGGTAGAAGCTAAAGCAAACCTCTGACAGAACAGCTGAAGCTAAAGCTAACCTCTGACAGAAGAGCTGAAGCTAACCTCTGACAGAACAGCTAAAGCTAACCTCTGACAGAAGAGCTGAAAGCTAACCTCTAACAGAACAGCTAGAAGCTAACATCTAAGAGAACAGCTAGAAGCTAACCTCTGACATAAGAGCTGAAAGCTAACTTCTAACAGAACAGCTAGAAGCTAACCTCTGACAGAACAGCTAGAAGCTAACATCTGAAGAACAGCTAGAAGCTAACCTCTGACAGAACAGCTAGAAGCTAACCTCTGACAGAACAGCTAGAAGCTAACATCTGAAGAGCAGCTAAAAGCTAACCTCTAACAGAACAGCTGAAAGCTAACCTCTGACAGAACAGCTGAAAGCTAACATCTGACAGAACAGCTGAAAGCTAACCTCTAACAGAACAGCTGAAGTTAACCTCTGACAGAACAGCTGAAAGCTAACCTCTAACAGAACAGCTGAAGTTAACCTCTGACAGAACAGCTGAAAGTTAACCTCTGACAGAACAGCTGAAAGCTAACCTCTGACAGAACAGCTGAAAGCTAACCTCTGACAGAAGAGCTGCCCGCAGTTCCTGCAGTGGTGGCGTCGCTCCGTCAGGGAGAAGCGCACGGCGCAGCCGGAGCAGCTGTCCACCCCCTCGTCCTTCACCCAGTGGTCCGCCGCCGAGCGTCCCGGCTGGTCGCTCACAGACCAGCTGAAGACTCGGCCGCGCCCGTCGCCCACCAGGATCTTACTGTGGTCTCTGCAGGGACAGACGGGAGGTTTGTCAATAAAAAAACAAACAAACAGGAAGTAGTTCTCTCTGTTGTTCCTGCTTCAGTCTCACTTGGAGATGGCGAGGGAGGTGATCTCAGCAGGGTGGGCGTTGTCCTTGCGGTCAAACGCAGTGTGCATGGTGAGTTTGCTGCGGAACACCAGCTGTCGTTCCCACCTGTATCCTGCCGACACAAAGACAAACATGGCGTCGGCGCGGATTCAAGCAGCTGAAATTAAAAATCAGACGGCGAGCAGCACCCACCTGCTTTCAGCTGGTTATAGGTGCGTGGTTCTGCAGCGGGGGGGTGGAGAGGCGGGTGGACGGCGCTCTGGCCCGGATGAGGGGGCGCACCTTTAGTTTGTCCCTCGGAGTAGTTGACGAACACAAAGCCATCCTTCTCGTCGATGCTCAGGGTGTCCGACCAGCGGTGAGAGTCGTCAGAGCCGCTGTCCATGGACCAGGACGCTCCGGCCCGGGACGATGGACCTGAGGGACCTGAGTGTTCGTTATCACGAATAAAAACTCAATAAATAATAATTAATCTTTTAAAAATAGAAGCAGGAGGCTCGGTACCTCTGGGTCTGTGGACGCCGCTGCCCGGCTGGCTGCCGCCGCCCGTCGACGGGTTGCGTGGCGTTCTGGGTTCCTGAGTCAGACTGGGCTCGTCTCCGTCGGACTCGCTGCTGTCCTCCTCCCCGTTGTTACTCTCACCGCCCTCTGAGACAGAGAAGACCAGAAAACACACGAAAATATCAGAAAACACATGAAAACATCAGAAAACACATGAAAATATCAGAAAATATTACACGTTAAAACACTGAAACAGCTGTTAAAGCTAAAAGAAGCTAAACACTAGCTACAACATAAAAACAAAAGGCTAGATAGGAGCAGCAAAAGATTAGCTACAATCTAAAAGAGGGGGAAAGCGAGACAAAAGCAACAAGTTGCAAAAATCTAAATAAAAGCAGCAAGAGGTTAGCTAAAAACAACAAAAAGCTAGCTGAAAGTAGCAAAATATCCTAAACGTAAAGGTAGCAAAAGGCTAGCTAAAAGCTTAAAGTAGCAAAACAATTTTTAGTTGCCAAAAGTAGTGAAAGGCCAGATAAAAGCTAAAAGTAGCAAAAAAAATAGAACGGTCAAAGTAGCAAAAGGCTATCTAAAAGCTAAAAGTAAAAGGTTAGCTAGAGGCTAAAGTAGCAAAAGGTTAGCCAATTGTATCAAACAATTAGCTAATAGTATAAAAAGAAAAAAACTGCTAGCTATAAGTTAAAATAGCAAAATGTTAGCTAGAAGCTAAAGTTGCAAAATGCTAGATTAAAATAACAAATGATAAGCTAGGAGCAGCAAAATATTAGTTTCAATCTAAAAGTAAGAAAAGGCTACACAAAAGCTGTAAGTAGCAAAAAGCTAAATCATAACGAGCAAGAGGTTAACTAAGAGCAATAAAAAGCTAGCTAAATGTAGCAAAGCATTTTAAACCTAAAAGGAGCAAAAGACTACCTAAAAACGTACAGTAGCAAAAGGCTAGCAAAAAGCTAAAAGTAGCAAAACAATACTTAATTGCTAAAAGTTGTGAAAGGCTACATAAAAACGAAAAGTAGCAAAAATAGAGGTCAAAAACAGCTAAAGACTATCTAAAAACTAGAAATAACAAAATGTTAGCTAGAAGCTAAAGTAGTGAAATGCTAAATAAAAATAGCAAATGGTAAGCTAGGAGCAACAAAAGATTAGCTACAATCTAAAAGTAAGAAAAGGCTAAAAAAATTCTGTAAATAGTAAAAAGCTAATTAAAATGAGCTAGAGGATGAATGTAAATGCTAAATGTAGCAAAACATCTCGAAGCTAAAAGTAGCTGAGCTGACTTTTAGCTACTACTTCAGTAAGTAAAGTAAATGAGCTGACTCAGCATTCTCTCAATGACTCGTTTCTTTATGAAAACACAAACAAACTCTCGTTGATGGGGTTTAGCCTGGATATCAGCACATCCAGCAGGACTCACCGATCTTTTCATCCCCGCAGCAGTCAGGCACATCGGGCTCCACTGGTTCTGGAGCAGGGGTTTCTGGGACTTGTAGGAACTCCATTCTCCAAAACTACAAAGTAAATGTAAAAATAAAAAACAAATAAAACTTGTTTGCGTTGAAAACACATATTTTTGCACGGATGAAGCCAGTCACCCTGACGACGCCGTCGGAGTGTCCGGTGACGATAACGTTCTGCGTGTCCCACTCGTTCATCTCGGACACGCAGCAGCACAGGATCTGCTGGCTGCGGCCCGTGAAGGTGTTGGCGCTGGCGATGGGGCTGCCGTTGATGCTCCACACGTGAATGTAGGTGCCTGCGCAGGACACGATGTCGCCCTGCGGACAGGAAGAAGCACAGATTGATAAAAAGGTGATGCTTGGCAGGTAAAGACCCAGACGTTAGCTCCGCCCCACCGTCAGCTCGTTGATGCACAGAGCAGACACGGGGGCCCGGTGGCCCCTCAGTTGCGTGACGAAGGAAAGCTTGTTCAGGTCCCAGATGATGCACGTCCGATCCCGGGAGCCGCTGACGACGATACGGTACGCCGACGACGCCGTCATACACATCACTGCATCTGTGTGGCCCAGCAACGCCTAGGAAATGAAAATATATGTTTATTTACTTCTCTCATCTCTTCTTTCACTTTAAACAAAAACATGTTAAAGGAAAGTTTTAAAACTCACTGCTGTTTTTATCTTTAAAGACACACATTTTATTTTGATATTTTAGATGTTTGTGTTCACCTGTTTGAGCGTCAGAGACTTGGCTCTCTCCTTGGACGTGCCCGTCTCCCACACACAGATGGCGGTGCTGGTGCCGCCCGTGATGACGAGCTTTGGGTTTGGACATATGGCACAGAGGATCTGACCCCACTCCGACAGACACTCGTACACCACCAGCGCCTGGAAACACGTCAGCTTATCACTAAAACACTAACACAATTAAAACCACTAAAACACTAAAAACACTAAAACATTAAAACCACTAAAACACTAAAACNATTAAAACCACTAAAACACTAAAACAATTAAAAACACTAACACAATTAAAACCACTAAACCCACTAAAACATTAAAACCACTAAAACACTAAAACCACTAAAACACTAAAACCACTAAAACATTAAAACCAATAAAACACTGAAACCACCAAAACCACAAACACTAAACTGCTAAAACACTAAATCACTAAAAACACAAAAACCTTAAAAGCACTAAAACACTTAAAACCACTAAAACACTAACACAATTAAAACCACTAAAACCACTAAAACACTAAAAACACTAACACAATTAAAACCACTAACCCAATTAAAACACTAACACAATTAAAACCACTAAAACCATCAAAACACTAACACAATTAAAACCACTAAAACCATCAAAACACTAACACAATTAAAACCACTAACCCAATTAAAAACACTAACACAATTAAAACCATTAAAACACTAAAACCACTAAAACACTAAAAAAACACTAAATGCACAAAAATGTTAAAACCACTAAAACCATCAAAACACTAAAACACTAACACAATTAAAAACACTAAAAGCATTAATACATTAAAACCACTAAAACCATCAAAACACTAACACAATTAAAACCACAAACACTAAAACCAGTAAAACCACTAAAACCATTAAAACCACTAAAAACGCTAGAACCATTACAACCACTAAAACCATTAAAACCACTGAAAACACAAACCATTAAAACCACTAAAACACTAAACCATTAAAACCACTGAAACCACTAAACCCACTAAAACACTAACACAATTAAAACCACTAAAACACTAAAAACACTAAAACCATTAAAACCACAAACACTAAAAACACTAAAACCAGTAAAACCACTAAACCCACTAAAATCATTTAAACCACTAAAACCATTAAAATCACAAACACTAAAACAGTAAAACCATTAAAACCAGTAAAACCACTAAAACAATAAAACCATTAAAACCACAAACACTAAAAACACTAAAACCAGTAAAACCACTAAACCCACTAAAACACTAAAATCATTTACACCACTAAAACCATTAAAATCACAAACACTAAAACAGTAAAACCATTAAAACCAGTAAAACCACTAAAACACTAAAACCAGTAAAACCACTAAAACAATAAAACCATTAAAACCACTAAAATCAAAGTGGAGCTGCAGAGAAGAGCGGTTTATCTCTGAGGAAACATCAACCTTGTCAGATTCATAGTTGGCCAAACGACAGCTGAGGTCGGCGTAGCCCCAGGCGAATGTTTTGCTCCAGCTGGGCGGAACCAGGACTTTGTTCTGCTCCACGGCGAGGATGCCCTTTTCAGTGAACACAATCTGCCCCACTGGCTCCTTCAGCTCTGGGTTTTAAAATAAAAGAACAAAATAAGAGCTGGAGTTTGAGTGGATAAAAATACGATTGTACATTACAGTTGTAAACATAAATATAAAGTCACAAAGACAAGCCAGTTTGAACAATTACAACCTTTTTTCCTTTTCAAAATAAAAGTTTGTAACTATCCATTTTACGTTTTTATTTTAATAAAAAGATAACGGCTTAATGTGTTTCTGGTAGATGTGGCGTGTAGGATCGACTCCCTCTGTTCCACTAGGGGGCTCTATATGTTGTTTACTTTTGTTCTGAAGGAAGTGACTTTAAAAAAACAAACATCCTAAAAAGATAAAACATTTACAGATACCTGCTCAACGTGTTGAGTTGTTGCTGCAATATTAACCGTTTGTGTAGCTGTTTACTTTTTGTTTTCTTGCATGAGTGTTGTAGGGAGATTAGCATGAAGCTAGTGGTTTCCTATGGAGTTTATACTGTACATTAGCAGCAAATTAGCATGATGCTAACACTCATTTCTTGCACAATTTGGATTAAATATTGATGTTTTAAAGCAGTAAATATTGTTTTCATTGAATAATTTTGTGGTTTAGACTCTGCTTGGCTTTGACTCAAACCTGAGCTCAGGTAAATCCACCCGTCAGGTGTTTCTCCTGCAGCGGAGCTACGTTTACCTTTAACAGGTGCTAGAGAAGGTCTGAGATTGTCCAGATGATGGAAGAAGATCTTGGCGCTGTTGGAGCTCGGAGGAACGCTCGCCAGGTCTCCGTTGGTTTTGCTGCGTACACGTTTAGGTGGGTGTGGCTTCTTAAACAGCTAAAAAAAAGCACAGATTTCAGCGTGTAACAACCAGAAGACACGCGGCTCGTCGTGTTTGAACAGTCAGAACCCACCTGTTTGGGGATTTGACCGAAGTTGTTGATGAAGCCGATGGTGGCGGTCTCTTTGAGCGGGTCGTTGATGTTGTAGATGTCCACCTGGCCCTCGTAGAACAGGTGGTGGAAGACATTCACCGCCTCCACGGCCGGGGGGCCCTGCTGCTTGTAGCCGAAGATCAGGTCGATCCACTCGTGGAGGTGGGCCGACACGTAGTCGCACTCCAGCGCCTGCACACAGAAGAAGACTTTAACCTGGAAGAAGTCCTGCTCTAACTATCCTGAGGGGTTGATCCCTACGTCTCGGTGGACTCGGATGAACTCTCGGGGGTCGCCCTTGGCCCAGGGGGGCAGGATGACGTCGCCCAGCTTGGTGCCGTTCTGCTTGGCGCCTGCAGAGACACGAGTTAAATCTTTTAATTCTGTTTGGTGCTTCAGTCGGCCGTGGAGCCTCCTGATACTGACCCAGGTCGAAGTTGTTGGAGTTCAGCAGGAACTCGGGCAGGTAGAAGAACTCGGGGATCAGCTCTTTGACGTCGGCCATGTTGTGTTTGGAGGCAGAGAGCCACGCTTCACGCACGCTGTGGAACATCCTGTCGGCCAGGTCGAAATGACCTCCCTGACCACAAACACACAAACATGGACTCACCAACTCATTATCTGATTTATTTATTAAATTTTACATCAAACAGCACAAAACAATCAGTCTTAGTCAGCTAAAAACCTGAACCTCAGCGAATAAAATTCATCTGTCAGTTCAGCTCTCCTTCAATTCTGAGGAATACAGCGGGTAAAATAAGTATTGAACACGTCACCATTTTTCTCAGTAAATATATTACTAGAGGTGCTAATGACATGAAATTTTCACCAGATGTTGGTAACAACCCAAGTGATCCATACATACAAAGAAATCAAATATTGAACACATGAAGAAAGGGAGGTGTAAAAA